TGAACTGCGCTGCGCAAAACTCCGCATTTGAACAGTCAATAGCAAATACTTAAACTGATAACACCATGAACTGATGGTAAAACTAACGACATTATTAACTGTCTTGATATCTACTTTGAAAGCTGACGCTCGCGATTATGGTAAGGGGCGTTACATTTCCGACGCGTGCTTGTGGTGTTCGGCCAATCACAATGCACTGGGTCAGCTGGCCAATCAGAGCAGACTGCGCTTGTCGGAAGGAGGGGCTTTGTTGAAAACTACGTGTTTGAGAGAGGCGGGGCATAGAGGACCTACAATAATGTACAGTATTTTAAAAATAATGTGTTTTTTGAACATTAAAGCATGTCAACATATTCTGTTACACCAAATACACAAAATAATGATCTTTAAAATAGCATCATATGACCCCTTTAATAAATGTACTTTACTTTAAACCCATAAAATCAAAATAAAAAAATTTAGATACATAATGATCTATGAATATATTTTAATTAAATATATATAAGTGTGTAAAACAGTTATGCTGGAAACCGAAATAAATTTTTTTCAGAATCCTTTGATGAATATAAAGTTGAAAAGAACTGCATTTATTTGAAATAGAAATCTTTCGTACAATTATAAATGTATTTACTGTCACTTTTGATCAATATAATGCATCCTTGCTGAATGAAAGTATTAATTAACTGTGGATAAAGTATTAAATAGTGTAATTATAAATATTATTTTGCAAAACTTGTGTACGACTAATTCCTCTGTTGTGTGACTGTATTATATGTACTTATATTGTGAATGCATTGTATTTTGAATTAGATTCTTAGACTCTTCCTGGCATTTCAATTCAAAGTTCTGAATTCAGTTTTGCACAACCCTGCTCCAGAGAGTGGGCTTCTGAATGAGGACGATTTTAGTCCTCTGAATAAAATAAGAGTTGAGAGAGTTTACAGCTACTTCTAGAACAGCACACTGACCATAGAAGAGTCTGAGGGTTTCCAGGCCCAAGAAGAGGAGCAGCAGGACAACATCCAATATCAGATTGGCTTGTGGGTAAGGCAGGATCACCCCTACAAACGGCACAGCAAACACCGATTACTTCACATATAAAAAAACATATACATCTCAACCGCTCAACGCTTTATTGAGCCCATACATCACCTTTGTAGATAAACATAAGAATCTCAGCGATGAAGAACGCTGCAAAATACCAGCCGTTCAAGTGAAACAGGATCTGCAGTGGGGTGGAGGACAACTGAGATACTTTGTTAAGAAGCAACATAAACGGTAAACAAAGATAGAGGTGTAATTCAGAAAAATGTAATGGAAGGATACGACAGGTTGTCTTCCTGCAAAAGCAAAATTAAATACTGAATTAATGAACATAACGTAGGTGTGTAAGGAGAGACTGGGAATTGTTGTAACGCCCTCTCTCTTTCTGTTTTTGGTCCTAAATCTCTCAGAAATGTACCAACCTCAGACTACAATCAATATCAGTCAATTTAAGATCTGTTATCACAAAGCAAACTTTAAGAAATAATGCTGAATATGTCAAACTAATTAGATAATCTGTTACAACATGAAATTCACATTCTCATCAAATCCATCTTTTTAAAGAGGTCATATGATGTTGCTAAAAATAACATTATCTGATTTCTAGTCATGTCCTCTTTTGGAAGACCAAACAAAGTAGTTTCGCTTTCACAACGAAACAGCATCACACAGCGCGGCCTTGAGTATGCGGAGGCCGGCTTGAGTGAGCAGAGGGGGTCGGGCTTGAGAACGGCGCGGCCGGAGGATTCGACAAAGGAGCGTCCAGCAGGCTTGCTGCAACCACATGTGACGACCCCGGGCTGGACTCCGCTTCGTCCACGGTGAAAGCCGATCCGGCGATCCACAGCGTGAAGTTGATGTATTCCCTCAGCGACCAGCACGGATCAGCTCCAGGCATGACGAAGCGGATATCGTCCTCTTTTGGAAGATCAAACAAAGTAGTTTGGCTTTCACAACGAAACACAGCGCCTTCACAACATGGCGGTGGCGGCAACAACACTACAGTGAGAATACAAGTTACGATCGTCCTCTTTTGGAAGATCAAACAAAGTAGTTTGGCTTTCACAAAGAAACACAGCGCCTTCACAACATGGCGGTGGCGGCAACAACACTACAGTGAGAATACAAGTTACGACTTCTTTCTTTGCTTGAACATTTGTGCGGCGTTATGCAAATCTTCCCACATCGTGACGTAGACATGTGGGGGCGTGTTAGAACGAGCCGTTTTAGGTAGGCGTGGTTGACTCTTAACTTTTATAAAGAATATCTCTTTGGATTTGAGACTTTAGTCTTTGCAACTTTACAGATCTTCTTTATGCACCAAGAGCTTGTAACACTCCAAAGAGAAAGGAAAAATTGAAATAGCATCATATGACCCCTTTAAATACAAAACACTGATTTTAAAATATGAAAATAAATCATACCCGCATTTGATTCATAAATGTATTCGTTTTTTTTCCCCAATACTTGGTAGTTTGGAAACCATTTTCCGCCAATGAATAATTAATAATAATAATAATAATAATAAGTAATTGCGACTTTTATTTCACAATTCTGGGAGAAAAGACTGTTTTCTTAGAATTGCGAGTTTATATCACGCAATTCTGACTCGCAATAGCGAGTTTGTATCTCGCAAATCCGAGAAAAAGTTCAGAATTGTGAGATAAAAGGTCACAATTACATTTTTCTCCAACGGGCGGGGTAGATTCACTAACGTTACCGAAAAGTTAACACTTTTGGAGTTCTTCTCAAACAGCAAAGTTTTGCTGAAACTTCTGAAGCGACTATCAGACAGGAGCAACACATGGGCCTTAACACCTCAAGAATAAAGTGGGTATGTAACGTTACACGAATGAATGCAGCTTATGCATGCTTTATACAACAAGCGATAAAAACTCACGACCCATGACGCACAATCATCCCAGTCTAGCATTTATATTACATTAAGTGCTCGGTTCATAAGCAAATCACAGGCAACTCACTAGAATTCGAGTTCATAAATATTTCCTAGCATGACAAAACGACAGTAGTGTTGTGAATGGCTAGCATTAGCTAGAAGATGCTTCTCCTTCATTCGAATCAAAAGAGCATTAATTGATCGCTTGTTTTTTACCAAAACGTTTTATTCGGCTTCATAAAAGCTATTCGCTCGGTTCACAATAAAATATAATAAAACGTGTGCCGACTTTAAGCTAAATCCACTCTAGTAAATCCCGAACACCTTTCTGCTTACCGTGTGCGGCCATGTTGAATTGCCATGGAAACGGCATACTGTGGGCGGAGACAACCATCAGTCGTCCAATCAAAACACGCATGAAGAAAACAAGCGTTTAGTTGATAACTGTACATGCCTTTATTTGAGCAGAAACGATCTTACTGCATTCTATTTTACTTATAAATTGAGTTCAGTACACTGTACGAAAGTACATGCTTTTTAAAGAAAACTACTTTTTGTTGATTACCAGATAAAACCACTGCTGAAACAGAAAAACAACACAGCAAACAGGCTGTAATAAAAAAAAAGACTAAATAAAATTACAATTACAATTTCTACATTACTACAGAATCACTTAATCATTTAACACATATTATGATGTGAATTAGCTACAGTTATGCTATGGTCATGAATGTCTATGAATGATTTCTGTTCCGTGTCATGGTTTATGTCGAACTGTTTCGCTCCTTGTGCTCCTAAAGAGAAAAGGAATGAGAAGGCATGTCAGTCTAATCGATCTTATACCACACTAAAGATAGATATGCAAAACAATCATGCAAGTAAGAAGTCTGTGAAGGTTTGCCTTCAGCTTTTGATGATGCATTGGGGTCCTGCAGTGTTCGTCTTTGGCCTCTTCCTCACTGGCATAGATGGCATTACACAAGCTGCAGAAGTAACCCACCACAGGCCGAACAAACTCTGTCCCTGTTGGTAAAGTACAACAGATCAGTTGAGCATTAGCAGAGCCGTACGGTCCATATAGCAGGACCTCGAGTGCCTTACTAGCTACACATGCTCTTACCCACTGGATCCATCACAGGTGTTTGCATCTCTGACACGACGTCTGAATTTTCCGCCTTCGTTCCGCTTCCTTCATCAGCTGCAGAATCTTGCTTCTCATCTGCCTTTGAGTTGACATCTTGATTATCATTCGAGGACTCCTAAAATCAGTGTAATTTATCACCAAACTCAGAGTATCAGTAGTTATACAGCACAGCAGCATCTGAAAGCTTGCAAAACAGGGATTTGACCAAAGCCAGGTGGTTAAATTGCAAAAGAGAATGATTCACCTTGACATTCGCTGATGTTTGGATAAACAGCTGCTCAGAAATAGCAGAGATTTGTGTCTTGGATTCATCATTTTCCTCCTCGAACTCAGTAGATGCTTGTAGAGAACCATCACTAGGTCCATGTAGAAAGTACCGAACAAACAACACAAAACAAATAGGAGTAAATTTGGTGTATGGATGCAATGAATGATTTTCATCAACCAGATAACTTTTATGACTTATGAAAAAATACATTGCTTACATTCAAAAAATGTGCAAATTGAATACTATAAAAACATATGAAGACCACGCGAAACAGCATGTGGAAAAATGTTTACAAATATGAACGTTACACAACACAAAGTCAAGTGTTTGTCCAGTTTTCAATAAGAGGAACAGTAACATACGACTCAAAGACTTCTATTTCCTGTTACATGTTATAATCCCATTACAGTTACTGTTCTCATAAAAGTTAGATGTAGGATTCAATTAAACACGGTGCATTTAAAACCAAAATTTAACATCCAAAAAACATTTTATCAGAATAAATCATTTTCTCTGTTGTACTCAAGCTGGTTGATATAAAGCTCAGTAATATCTATTGGTGACCTATGATGAGCCTTGTAGCAAAGCACCTCTCAAACACACTAAACAGCACACACCTCTGTCCAAAAACCTGACAAAGGCAACCCACATCAAACCCTATGCTTATTATTTCATTTGAATATGAAGTGCTTCGAACTGTTTGGGGTTGTGCACTTTGTCAAGCATTTTTACCCAAAGAAATACATTTTTCACTATTGTTAACAGACATCACTTGACTAATTGTTAATGATGCAGACTATAATCAATTTTGCAGGTCTTGAAATAGATATAAATTACTATCAAATACCTTTTATTTAAATGAGCATGTTTGGTAGACACTGAAATCTTGGGATTTTTTCCAGCAACTGTAATTTTATTCATGTTGGCCGCAGCTACAACCTTTTCAGCATCAGAGGCCTTTTTCATTTCAATCAGTCCCTGGGGGGGGAGAACATTTTAAGATTTCATTTATGGAAGCACTGAATCAGTAGTTATATCTACTAACCGTTTGATGGAGGCGAAACATCCAATGGCGTACTACTTTTCCATATGGCTCTGCGATGCTCAGGAAATCTGCATCAGTGTACTCATCAGGCATTGGAAGGTTTCTGATCTGGAGAACTCTGCCATACGCTTCCTGAAGTATTGGAAAGCGGCAGAACACCGTGTTACCTGAGCTGTGTATAATCAATGATGCGGCAATGTATACACGTGTTTTGTGGCCCCCATAAAAAGACATGCACTGCTAAAAAGACACTAAATTTGAGATTCATATTGGACCCTGTGAGAAATTATTTCTTGATTTTACCTCCTCATCACTAGATGCTTGCATGATTGTGTCCATGTTGGTTTCCTTTCCTTCCTGAGCCTCAGCATCTTCTTCAGAGATCTCGGTCTCAGCCATCACTACTGTACTCTCCTCACTAGAAGCCAGTGTGCTTGAGGGCTCCTTATTGATCTCTTCAATATCTTCCTTAACTTTCGCTTTCTCAGAGTCAATCCTTTGCCTGAAACAGAATCAAATATCATCTGATGTGTTTTTCAGACCACACAAGCACAAAAGGAGAATTAGTCATTTAAATGTAAGCTACCCCTCGTTCAATTGGCTGTATTTCTTTGACACTGTTATCCTTAAGTTTCTGCCACCTAGTTTAATATGTTGCCTTTTACACTCGGCTTCAAGTTTTGCAGCATCGGCAGCATTCACCATCTCAATTAATGCCTTCTCCACCTGCAATGAAAATGTAATTAACATAATTCTACATATATCACACAGACAAAACCTGCACCTCAAATATCATGAACAATTAAGAGTAGAGCTGTAAGAATATCGTAATGATAAAATCCGACTATATCAACAATAAGTTAACTATTTCAGAAAGCCTTAATGAATCGATTCAAAACTGATTCAACAAATAGTTCTATTTGTTCAAATATATGCATAAAAAATATTACTGTTTATGTGACATTACGATTCAATATAAAGTTTGTTCGTGGAAAAATGTGGAAAACATGCTTTGTTTTCTTACATTAAGAAAATAAAATCAAACTGTCTAAATGGTTAAAATTGTTTAAAAAAAAAAGTTTTATCATTTCAGAGCAAGTACATAGATTGAGCTATATCAGACAAATATCATCAGAAGCTAAAAAAAAAATACCAATAGGCCTATATTTTAAGTCATATCACCTAGACATAAGAGGCCCATAACATTCAAGACCAATATGTTTTCAAATGAATTACAAAAATTAGATTGCAAATAAACTGTTTGATATTTTGCTTACACTTTTTCCTTCAATTCAATGTTGAAGTTATGCTTTCATTTGATCACTTTACCTTTCGATTGCTGCGAACCAGACAGCAGCCTGCCACATCTCCGTATTTTTTCCCGATTTTCAGCAAATCTGCTTCACTGTATTTTTTAGCCACTGGAAAACCTACCACCTCAAGAACTTTGCCAAACTTTTCCTAAAAAATAAATAAAAATAAAAATAAATAAATAAAAAAGCAACTTAAAGAACTCAAAATCCCTTTGTGTAATTTATAGAAGACATCATAATTTGTGTTCCATATTTACACAATCACAAACCCTTTGAGGGGAATAACAGACTAACCTCAGTGCTTGAAGTCCAGATCTCCTTATCATCCCCTAAAACAGAATGGACATACTTCCTCAATTATATTTGAAATCCGACTAAAGAATAAAACTTTTTTGTAAAACTGTTTTAGGAAAACATACAGCAGAACTTTATTGCTTTTACGGTTGAATTATTCAATAACTGTAAAATAAATACCTTGTTCTGTCAACACTCTCTCCTTATCTAGATTTTCTGAGAAATCTGCTGCCTCCTACACAAACAAAACAGACAGATGTGTTTCTTTACCTTTTGTAAATATAGAATGTAACATTATTAGTTATGCATCACTACCAAGTGAAATACTTATAAATTGTGAACATTTATATTCAATCAAAGGGGATCAGGAAATGACGCAAGCAGGACTTGGAACACTTGTCGCACGAATGAGCACCAAAGCTGCTGGGCCATGACTCTAACAATTATTTGATATCCTTTTCTAGATACCGAGTCCTCAATTTCAAAATGTAGGTAACTGTAACTCTCATTTGCGTTTACCTCCTCCATCTCCACCATACCGCCTTTTTGCTCCTCTTGTTGAAGCTCGTATTGTTCTCCGTGTTGAAGCTCTTTTTGCTCTTCTTTAAGCTCTTTTTGCTGAAGCTCTTTTTTCTCAACTTCTTGAAGCTCTTTTTGGTCTTCTTGAAATACTTTTTGCTTATTCTCAAGCTCTTTTTGCTCTCCTTGTTGAAGCTCTTTTGGCTCTTCTTTAAGCTCTTTTTGCTTTTCTTGAAGCTTGTTTTGTTCTCCGTGTTGAAGCTCTTTATGCTCTTCTTGTTTAAGCTCTTTTTGCTTTTCTTGAAGCTTGTTTTGTTCTCCGTGTTGAAGCTCTTTATGCTCTTCTTGTTTAAGCTCTTTTTGCTTTTCTTGAAGCTTGTTTTGTTCTCCGTGTTGAAGCTCTTTATGCTCTTCTTGTTTAAGCTCTTTTTGCTTTTCTTGAAGCTTGTTTTGTTCTCCGTGTTGAAGCTCTTTATGCTCTTGTTTAAGCTCTTTTTGCAGAATCTCTTTTTTCTCAACTTCTTGAAGCTCTTGTTGGTCTTCTTGAAGTACTTTTTGCTTATTCTCAAGCTCTTTTTGCCCTCCTTGTTGAAGCTCTTTTGGCTCTTTTTTAAGCTCTTTTTGCTTTTCTTGAAGCTCGTTTTGTTCTCCGTGTTGAAGCTCTTTATGCTCTTCTTGTTTAAGCTCTTTTTGCCGAATCTCTTTTTTCTCAACTTCTTGAAGCTCTTTTTGGTCTTCTTTTTGCTCTTTTGGCCCTTCTTGAAGCTCTTTTTGCTCTCTTTGTTGAAGCTCTTTTGGCTTTTCTTGAAGCTCTTTTTGCTCTCCTTGTTGAAGCTCTTTTTGCTTTTCTTGAAGCTCTTTTTGTTTTCCTTGTTGAAGCTCTTTGGCTTCCTTACAATCACTTGATCTATCTGAAGTTGTAGCAGTTGGTACATGCTCTGACGTCTCTGGCTGTATGCTCAATGTGTCCATGTCTGAAGGTTTAGTCTGATCATCTGACTCGTTCACAGCTTGGACATCTTCAGCTGCATCCTGTTCCTGTTCATCTGAGGTATCATGCACCTCATCATCCGTCTCTTCATCTACTGTGAGCTCATCTTCTGAATTCAGTGCCTCACCATCATCTGCTATAACTGCCACTCCTTCAAGATCACTATCATCAGCCATGACGTCAGACTGATCATTGTCATCTTCAACAGTCTCCTCCACACTCTCTTCTGTTTTAGTTTTTTGTTTCTGGTCTTTAGAAGGAGTGCTTCTTTTAGAACGGGATTTGGATGAGCTGTCCCGTTTTGAGCTCTCTTTGGTTCTCTCCCGTGAGCGTCCACTTTCTTCTTGTTTCTTAGAGTCTTGACTCCTGCGAGACCTGGACCTCTCCTCAGAAGCTCTTCGTTTGGGGCTGGGAGAATCTCTGTGGGATCTCCTTCTTGGGCTGCAACTCCTCCTCCTTCTCCTGCTGCTATAAGGTACTGGTGATTTTTCTTTGTCAGCATCCTTCATACTAGACCATTAAGAGAAAAACATGTTATTTTAGAAGTAGAGTGGAAAAAATGTGCACCAAATTAAGGTCATGTGTGTAATGTCACTGGCGTTACACCGTGTCCTAACTACACGCGCCGCAAAGCGATAAAAGGTATCTTTTCCATGTTAATCAGAGTTTTTGTCCTAACCAGCCACGACGGCGACACACAAAGTTTCTATTTTAGGAACCCTCTGCTGGTCTCTGCTGGACCCTCTCGGATGGAACAACAACATACAAACTATGACAATGCTATTCTCAAGTACTGATTATGTGATTTATTCAATGTTAAAAGTGAGTTTGAATATCATTTTGCAAGACATTTATAGCCATACTGAAAGCAACAATAGATCTTGAAAATAAATTAAAGCAAACGTGTATGTTAAGACTGTGAACTCAATGCGAACCAAAAAGTGTATTCCATAACAAAGATGGTATCAGTCACTCAGTATTTACTTTTAATAATGTTTAAAAGCTTTAATATTAAGATAATTAAATGATAAACTTGTCCATTTCGTTGGGAGTGCAGTGCGCTTCTGGGCTTTTGAATGGCTGTGATATTTGAGTGATTCTGTCGTGTCACGTCTGGTGTGGACAGCCAAGATTCTTGCTTGTCGCTAGAATCTTGTCGCGTCGTGTCTGGTTAGGACACCGTGTTACCCAACAAAACAGTCCAAATGCATAAAAAATGGTGTCTACGTAAGATCAGCAAAACACGTTTACCCAAGTGTCTGGTACTCAGTTGAGGAGCAAACGTTAATGGTTTTTCCTTTTATTTTGAGTGCATTGGTTGAATAATGCTCCACCAATTTGTTGGCCTCTTCCATGCTGCCCATCTCCACAAAACCCTGCAAAAAGGCACAGTCTTTATACTTTATAGGCGACTGAAGAGAAAAAAACAAGCCATAAGAATAACTAAGTAAAATATTTGTATAACAATAAGTCTGGCTACCCGGCTTGGGAGAAACAGTGAATTTTTTACTGATCCGAAACGCTTAGCAATGGCCGTCAACTCCGAGCGTATGCCATCTCCAGAAGGTAGCGGTGAAAAGCTCACTACACAAGATGTCTGTGAAACATGAAGGAAATCATTCAATCACCATTGGTGGCAAACATTTAAACTAAAACAAATGTCACTTTGAAGGTGCCGTTAGTAACTTCTGAATGGAATGGCACTTGGAAAATATCTCTGATCCCTTCTTAATAAAATAATATTAGGTGGCACAAGTTTCAAAATGGTTAACATCGCTTACAAGCAGGAGTTTTGAAACTGGTTCAATTAAAATTTTTAGAGAAAAACTGTTTACCGTTTCTTCTTCCTAAAGACTAGTTAAAAAACATCATGAGCTCAAATCACATATTTTACAATAATTTATTTTAGTATTACCTCTGTGACAATATAACAACTAATTCATTTAAGAAACAACATGTTGTCTTTCTAATATCACACTTAATATTTTCTCATACTGCATAAATGGGTTTTACACATGCAAATATGTGGCCGTATTTATATTTTAGGATATTTGGTGGGCCATGGCATCAAAAAGTCCTGGCTTACAGCACCTTCAATCTTTCATTTGATGAGCATTTAACAAAACTGTGCTGATCATTACTCACCTGTAGGAAACTGACTGCTGCAGACAGAGTAAATTTGATCAGTTCTCCTTTGATCCTCAAAGGGTTTTGGTAGAAATATTTTACTATATCCTCTGCCTGGCCTGCTGTTCCCATATTCACAAAAGCCTAAAAAATATTACAGGAAAAAATTATTACAGCTCATTTAAAAATCAGATTCATATATATTTGTTAAAGGAGTTATATATATTAAAAAAAATAAAATTCCATACCATTCTATGTAACATAATAATTTTGACAATAGCCCCAAACTGGCCAAGCAATTTTTTCAGGTAAGCTTCGTCGAATTCATCCACTTCAAACTTGACACACACCACTTTGCACTGTAATTAAATGTAGTAAAATAAATAAATACAATAATGTCTGAACATCAGAACAGCAGTAAGCGAAACAGAACATCAAAAATAAAAATCTACCTTCGATTCAGTATTATTGCGGTTTTGACTGCTTGATGATGCACGTCTACTGCTCGACGCTCCATTTCTGCTGCCTAACGATCCTTTTCTACTGCTTGAGGTTCCACCTGAACAAAAAGCCCAACACCTATAATATCTAGAAGATGCTCAAATCAGTATGAAGAGGATAAAGACTTTACCTCGTTCCTGTGTTGTTCTAGACGCGAGTCGATCAGAATGGGGCTCATTTCTGTTAAAGTGTATATGTTTAGCATGTAAGCCAACACATTTATTGAAATGTGCTGTTTTATGACATATAGCGAGGGAATGATTCTACCTTCGAGCAGACTGGATTGTCTGATCCCACGCTGGATATCTAATGAACAAGGATATTTGTGTAAAACATTTATTTACAATTGAGCATTTTGGGAGTTGCTTTTATCTAAAGGTTTCAATACATTCAAGGTTTGCATTATATCAGTGTGTGAGCGGAACTAAACCCATGCAGTTGTTAGTGTCATGCTACTGTTAACTTAAATACATCAAGGTGGAAAATACAAAATACTAGCCTATTACTTTATAAAATGTGTGGTGAAGAATTGCACATGCTTTGTCTGTACATTGACTAATGTTTCATGTTAAGTCTGTTATCATCCTCACTATCACCAAATGTGTTTTTTAAACCGCTTGAATTTCATGTTTGGCAGAAAACATTATTTAGTGACAACATGACTGCGCAGGAGCTTTAGAAACAAATTAAAGAATAAAGTTGCGGATACTTACTTTTCCACAAGACTAAGTTGACTATGCGCATGTTGGGCTCCTTTTATATGCACAGACCAGTCCTAAAACACAAGTCATATCTCTAAATATTCGTTCATGAGGCATTCAAATATATAATATGACAATCAAAGTACATTTATAGTTCATATGGTTAAGAAACTTCCATCAATTTTAAACAAAAGTATTTACAAGTCATGTATACTTCTTTGCCAATGAGTTTTTCTACACCCTCTAACTGCATATGCTATCAAAATTGACAGATCTTCAATTTTGGGTATTTGCTCTCTTATCAAAGGAAATCAAACAAAAATGACCATCATATCAAGAACACAGTCAATTATCAAGTCATTATTCAGTGAAAATTGTTCCTTTCAATATATCCCTTAAATCTCATTCCCACTAGCGCATATTCATAATTGTTGCATCAAGATGCATCACACCCAAGTATGACTTCATTGGCCAGTGACTCCATTGGTTCTTGCATGTCTTGTGACCGAACATGATGCGGCATATTTGCATATGCGGAAGCGGAAATGAGATTCGAGAACTACAGCAGTGGGATAATGACTTCATACAGTGCATGAGTCGAATGGACTGCTTTTATGTTACTTTCTGTCTTTATCAGGTTCGATACAACATGACTGTAAACTACACCTTTAATGCATTACTACCTATGTGGATAATAAACATACTACTTGGACTTACCTCATATGCCACAGTACGCTCATGTGTATTTTGCTTGAAACTGTCTAGTAAATAGCTGGTAAAGTAGAATCTGTGAGAGCGAAAAAAGCTACTTACCTTGTGAGAGAGGACAGTGATATCGCAGAGCACGCATGCGTAGGGAAATACTGGTGGAGTTTTCCCGTGGAAATCTGACGCCTCCTTCCTGGTAGGCACTCTATGAGCCGACTCTGTCCTCCGGTGGTGTGACGATTGACCAACGTCTCTGCTGGACAGGTGCGAGGGTGGAGCAAGGTCTCTGATGGACAGGAGCGAGGGCAGACCGACGTCTCTGCTGGACAGGAGAGAAGGTGGAGCGATGCCTCTGCTGGACAGGAGCGAGAGTGGAGTGGCGTCTCTGTTGGACAGGAGCGAGGATGGAGTGGCGTCTCTGCTGGACAGGAGTGACGGTAGACCAACATCTCTGCTCGACAGATGTGAGGACTGGCCAATGTCTCTACCGGACAGATGTGAGGACTGGCCAATGTCTCTACCGGACAGATGTGAGGACTGACTGACGTCTTTACTGGACAGATAAGAGGACTGACTGACATCTCTGCTAGAGCGGTGGGAGGATTGACTAGCATCTCTACTGGACAGATGTGAGGAATGACTGCCGTCTCTGCTGGACAAATGTGAGGATTGACTAACGTCTCTGCTGTGGCTAGAGTAAGACTGCGGGACAACGGACGTTTTCTGCCTTGATGGTTCTGTGGCACAAGACGCTTTATCAAAATAAGACTCTTTGTCTTTCAGATGGTTGTACTCCACCACATAGTTCGACTCAGAACTGGTGTACGTGCATGATGGAGAGCTTGTTTGTTGGATGTTTTCCCAGCGGTCATCCCAGGTTGGAAGCTGCTCTCGAGGAATGGAATATGACTGACGGACAGGCAAATCCAATGGATACTCAACCAGCTGAGTGTGGCTCCTGTCGTCCCAGGAGCGAGATGACGAACTGGCTTGGAGCGCACTGGACCTAGATGAAGAAGTGCTGGACGCTTTCTTCTTTTTGATCTGTGCAAGAAGGTCAGGAAGAGTATTGGCTGCGATGAGATGCTCGGGAAGCTTGGCCAGAGTTTGAAGGTCTTCAGCATCCAGTCCACAGCTATGCAGAAAAGACAAAGCCTTAACAGAAGAGAGGACAGGTTCTGATGAGAATGGAGACGTCTGCTCTGGAGATGCGCCCCTAATTCGCGACCTGTAAGCGGTAGACTCCCGGTGATAAATTCGTTGCGAGTCTTTGTACTTGTCATCGCTTGCGCTGTAATCAGCTGGGTTTCGGTATGGATGATTGTAAGACATGTTCCAAAGTTCCAAGAGGTCAAATGATTATAGGACCTCAAAAAAAGCAGCTCTTGTAGGGGCAGTTGCTGTTCACCTGTTAAAAAAGATGTTAAGTAAGGAGACTTTGTTCTCCTTATATTGATACTACATTACTGAAGAGATGGGCTCCAGGTGGAAGATCTGCCGGTGAATCCGGTGAGGTGTGTCACCTGTATCAGTCTTACCTTGAGATGAAAAATCAAATCATTCATACTTTGTGGATGTCTCTGGATTTGCTTTATAAAACTTCAGCTGTATCAGACCAGTAATATGACAACTAGTAATTAATGTAACTTGTAGATGACAAATGTCCATGAACTTAGTTAAAAAACATGTATAAGGGAAGGCAACTTTAACGGTTATGTTTTTAATCACTTTCTCTTTCAACATGCATTTATAATGCCTGTAAATTAATATTATAAGGACAAATGATAGCATGTCACTGCTTGACATGTCATGTAAACTACCTCAATGGAGGTGGAGTTTATTTTTCAACTTAAAAGTGAAGAATAATTTGACGGTTTTTCCTGAAATGTTGATCTTATGTGTTTTGGCCCTGATGCTAACCGCCATATTCCCGCTAACGCAATACATCATAGGACACATCAGCAAATTACAGACATTACGAAGGCACTAATCAGTTTGTATTGATTTATAAAAACTCACCTACACAAGCTGGAATAAAGCAAACGATCGGTAAAGCTCTGCAAAGCAGCGGTTACCAAAGCCGTTCTTCTTGTCTTGGTGTCTAAACCGGAAATGTGATCTTTCAAAATAAAAGTCACCAAAGACGTATCGTTTGTATTATTGTGAATAAAATGTAATGCATAACTTTATTACATTTTATTCAGAAATAAATACTAACATATACACTATAACATTATTTGTTTAGAACAGAACTTACATATAAAGTTAACTTAAAAATAAAGCTCTGATAACACCAATTTATTACATTGTATATTACATAGGCCTATGTATGCCCTGTTGAAAAAACCAGCATATGCTGGTTAGGTATGTTTTGACGCTGGGATGCTGGTTTAAGCTGGTCCTTTGCTGGTTTATGCTGGTCCTTT